ATTAGCCACTAACTGGAAACTCCTTATAATATGTGCGGTAGTGTCGCTGATGTACGATTATTGGAGTGCGTGGTGTATTTTTATTTATTGGGAAGACCCTCTCCCCGCTTGTTCTATCCAGAAAGAGGAGAATTGCGCTAGACCCTTAAACTCTCATGCTTGGAGAAATCGAGCGTTATTTTTTTTTCTAAAATTCAGTTTGAAATAAAAAATCCCATAGACTATTTTCCAGCCCGAAACCTGATTCCTCAAGTTTTTCCATTCTACTCGGTAAAATGATGAAACTTTCAGAGTAGATACTAATGCCCATTTCAGACTTAAATACCCATCGGTACTTTTTAAATAACTCGAATTTTTCGTACTATCTACAGTCGACGTTGCTCTGGCTTTTTACAAAGACGATAAAAAATTCCAATCGTTTTTCTCCTTGAATATATCATGAGTTTTCGGCTTAGTCTCATTTCAGATACTTTTTCGTTTAAGTTATATTTAAAGTAAACAAGTATTTGTAAATATATAAACATATTTTTTCTTCATGTTTGAAATGGTTTTTTTATTAGATATTATTTACAAACATGTATAAGATTATTTTCTTCTTAGATTTATGATCACCACAGAAGATCTGTAAAGACAGACAATACTTGTTTTATACTTTCTAGAAAAAAGTTATCCTAATGTTAGCAAATACTATATTGCTCAAATTTAAGATCTAAGCTCAAAGGTTTCTTTTTCATATCTAACGTTAGAATATTCAAGCAAAAAGTTATCCTAATGTTTGTAAAGCTTTTTATTCCGTTTCTTTTTCATCCAGAAACGTAGATCTACTAGTGAAATGCTGTTCTAGAACTGTTAATAACCTATCTCTGGTATTTAAGATGGAGCTCGAATATCTATAGTTTATTCTTTCTTCATCGAAATCAAAGAAATATTTATGTAGAGAATGTGATCATCAATCTAATGGAAGTAAATAATCATATAACTCACATGAATTGAATACAAGGTCAATTAAATTGTTTTATTTTTAAGATTTTGAAAATTGTAATAACAAAAAAAAAAAATAATTTGATGAAAAATTCAACTTTTAAATGCTTATGCTGCTCGCACTTTTTTTACATTAAGTAATCAATAATGATTGCGCATTTTATATATCTTTGACAATGCTTGAGAAACAAGAATGATAGTAAAAAAAGTATTCGATATTTGATTGCCACTTGTGGTGAGCAATATTTTAGAAAAAGTAAAAAATCATAGAAATTTCACTTTATTTGTTATTTTAACTAAACTTTATATTACAAAAAATAATTTTTATTGCTTTTCTTATTTCCAGATAACTATTTCAAAAGAGTCACGAGCTAAAATGTAATGTTTTAAAATTTACGTATATACTCCGGTATTAGAAATCTGTTATCACATTTTATATATTCATCCTGAACGGAACAGCCACTATTTGCAACATCTAATATAATCTTTATACCATTTCGTTTGTTATGTGTTATTGCCTTTATAAAAAATCAATATTAACCAATAAATTCCAAAAATATTTATTTCTTCTCCAATTTCCTTACGTAAAAGATTGAATTTCTCCAATGTGGTTATTGTTACAGTCATATGTATCACTCCTTGACTCATCGGTATTTGTTTATTCATTTCGCATTCTTTGATGCTTTATTTCTCTCTATATATCGCTCCCTATACTCGCTTAAGAGGGGATTCAATCTGGAAATAAAACAAACATCGAGAAGGAACCGGGGTAGTCTTAATAGTTATCATCTTGAAAAATTTTTTTCTTAATAGGAATGATTTCTAAGCGATTACTTTGAAGATAGCATCTCTATCACTATTCTTAGAAAATGTTTTATTTTTAAAACACGACCACTAAAGATAGATTAAGTATTTTTCTATAAAAATAAGGTTTATCGTTGTAGATTAAAAATTTTATGGCAAAAAGGCAGTTTCTACTGCAATTTCAGATATGAATTGATAGTCTTAAAGATTGACAGATACTTGATTAGTTTTTTCTAGCTCAGACAGAAACATTACGTATCTCTATAAGTATAGGATATTTTATGACTGAAAGCAACTGCTACGCAAAAGACTTTTGAATAGTAGATCCGCATTGGTTAAAATGATGTCGATAATCTGATTCTCTCACTCTTTTTTTTCTAGCAGGGGCATATTTTTAATATAGTCGTCCTTCTCCTGGAAGTTTATAAGAGCAGGGTAAAAAAGGAAAAAAAATTCCATACCAGCGTTCTATCAAAACTAATCTTGTCAAAAATATTTTTTGAATGTAAATATCAATCTTCCTGAATGTATCATATATCCTCCTGGACAAAAATAGTGCCACTCGATATTTCCAACATATCATTTACTATAAATCAACATTTTGAAAAAAGTAATTATATATTCGCATAGCCCGTGGAATTCTCTACAACTCTATATATGTACATTTTGAATTGCATTTGTTCGATAAAAATAAATTGAAGCAGAGTAAAGGTATCCTCATCGTCAGATTCCCCGGAAATGCATTTTTTACTCCTTTTTCATTCATATCTTTTAGTTTATTTTTAATATGGAAACAAGTTATTAAAAAAGTAAGTATATGTTCTGAAAGCACGTGAAATTCTCTATCATCCTGTACTATTGCCAGTCTTGAGGTTGTGGGTGTGGGTATGGGTCAGCATAAAAGAAGAACAACACCCCACACCCACACCCCACCCACCCACACCCACATTAGCAATACTCGAAGTATTTGTTATCAAATAATTCCAATTCACGACTGGCTGTAGTACAGGGTGATGGAGAATTTCACGTGCTTTCAGAACATATACTTACTTTTTTAATAACTTGTTTCCATATTAAAAATAAACTAAAAGATATGAATGAAAAAGGAGTAAAAAATGCATTTCCGGGGAATCNTTGGTTTATATGGTTATGTTCCCCATCTCAAAATCTACCTCTGGTAAAAATTTCAGGTCTCTATCACGTACTATTGAGGAGATATCGTAAAAACTTCTTCAATGAAAAATTGACAAAAAATCGCTTATATCGATAAAAAGCTATTTTTGGTGCTTTTAGAAGGATCGGCGTATCTCAGTCAAAATTTATTCTTTAAGTCTAAAAATTTGGCTACATACGTAAAAAAATTTGCTCTACAAAATGAGATAACCTTCATCCAAATCTGAGACTATGACTGAGCAGCCTCCGGCGTGGCTCTCGTGCAGTGACTCATAGGCTACCATCAAATCAAGGACTTATGTGGATAATGCTTTTTTAGGCTCTACAAAATAGTTCGATTTTCTGCGTTGGAAACAAGTTATGAGTGACTCGTAATAATATTTTAAAGGTTGATTTAACAATAGTTCTTAATCAAATGTTGAGTCACACTTGTTCTACCCTACAAAGATTACCAATATACGTTTTTACCATTCTCATGGAGGAGTATGAGAATACATTGAAAATGATTTTAAAGATTTTTTTTTTAAAACTTTTTGATGCAAAAATATCCATAATAGACCCTTCTAATGTTAAATATGAAATTTAGGTGAATCTGTGAGGTTTCTAGCACTTTGTGGAAGAAGAATATTCTTTGCCAATATTTTGAAAAAAAAAATATTTTCTTTTACTTTGAATAATCTACTTAGATGTGTCGTAGTCAAAAACGATCTGAAGCAGCAATTCAAACATTTTTTGAACACATGACATGTGGAGAATCAAATCAGTTTTTAGGAATACTCCACATTGATAAAAAAGAATCAATTATAACTGATGATAAACACTATTCATTATGTTTTTCATACTTTTAGTTGCGATAGAGAGATTAAATTTTTATCGCATATATATATAATCAAGATCTTTTATTTTTGAAAATGTCAGCTCTCTAACCAGATTTAATAGTGAAATCCATCTAGTTTACACTTGATTTTTCTAATAATTTCGTAGTAAAAACATGCAAAAATCAAGTAAGAATAAGAATTTCTACCTCTCTGTATCATGAAAAGTAAGAAAAATCTGGTTAGTAATTTTATTATAGGATACAGTTTATGTGCATGGACTCTTCATAAAAAAAAAACAAATTTGCTTCTCCATATCTTATATGGCCAAAAAGGTTTTAATTGTTGTCTCAGACGGTTGTCGACTATGATCTATCTAACTAGACTATACAAAGCGAAAAAAAGTATTTTTCACAAAAGTGGTAGAAATCCCGTGAGTTCACCCATATTTATCTAGTTTTTTTAACATATCTATGTCTAGTTTTAATTGTAAATTCAATTAAATTCACAGTTCTTTTTTTGATAACCATCTTACATAATAACTGTCTTAATTGGAAATCATTGATTTGGTATTATGACCTAATTACTAAAAGTACAGTAGTTGCGTATAACGCTGATCATATTTAACTTCGATTCGTTTTTTTTTTCATTTTTAACATCAAATAACTGATAAGACTAATATTGTCAAAGAGACTAAATATTTTTTAGATTCAGTTTGCGATCTATATTTAAGATCGAATATTCCACAAAATAGTTTACCAGATATTCTCGGAAATGCAGTCGGACTTGCTAAAACTAGCAATTCTAGTAAATATACCAGTTATTTTCCAGAGAATGAACTTTAGATTACGAACGATGGAACAAATTTAAAATCTATTCAAATTTAAAATGTTAATCTTGCAAAGATAAAATTTTATGATAAAAGTGCATTACTTAGAAAAACTGAACGAAATACGAAACAAATAGAATATATCACTAAAACAGTACAACCACAGCGTGTTCGTGCATTTATTAATCTAAAATATTACGCATTCAAAAGAAAAAGAAAACAACTTGAACAAAATTTAGAAAAAAAGAATTTCTATGCTCGTAATATAAAAGAAGAAGAAGATCAGTCTAGAAATACTAAAACTTCTAGTAATATTTATCGTTTCTTTAGTTTTGTTAAAAACACTGAAAATTACTGCACAATCAGTAGTTAATCAGTTCGCTTTGGAAAATTTGGATATGAACAATTTCCCATCAGATATAGTTAACGTTATATCTGAAATAATTGAATGTAATTTAGAAATAGGTTCTATTAATCAAGCTAAATATTATATTGATATATTAAGAAATATAACTGGACAGGAAGCTCAATATAAATTATATGAATATGAATTAAGAAAAGATTTAATTCTTCAATTAAGACAAATCATGGAGTTTGAAACTATTCTATTATTACTACAAGAAGATTATCTTAAGTATTTTATAGTCAAAAATCCAGCGGAGATTTGAGATTATAATAATAATACTGAAAAGTGGAAAACAAATCAGGATTTACTTGATTTTAAATCAATTTTATTTATTTATAATCTTCAAGAAAAGGAAAATTATTGGGAAAGTTTACTTTCAATGCCTGAGAAAGTAATAGAATTTTTTAAATAAAATATTCGTGAAAATTCAATCTTAACCATATTTTTCAAAAACATATTTATTATAATAAAACTAGAAATCTTTTTTTTATGAATTACTTTATATGTTAGCAAATAAAGATGTTTTTTTTTTAAAAATTGAACAAAACTTAAAAGATATTCTTTTTCTTAATAATTAATTTTCTTTAAAAAGTAAAAGAACAAAAATAAATGATTTTTGTCATTTATTGAGACAAGTTTATCAGTTTATAGTCATGATCTGCTTCAAGAACATTTTTATCAAGTTATTGATCATTTTTTACGATAAAAGAAAAATTTTTAAAGAATTTTCTTCTTCTTATGGAATAAATGACTATTTGAAGGAATCAGTTATAACAAAACAAGAAAATGAATTTCCTTTGAGTTGCTCTCCAAATTGTACGAATTCTGTTATTAAAAAATTAAATGATAATATTAGTCAACAAGAGTTTTTCTCAGATATTCTTCCTTATATTGATCAAATTAATAATTTACAACGTTCATTTAATTTAATTTATAATATTGATTAGCAATTTTATTATAATCAAAATAGGAAATAAATCTGTTTCAAAATAAGGTGTAATGAATATGAAAAATTTTAAAAGAAAAAACCTTATGAGAAAAATGTTCCTATCATATTAATTGAATGTCATTTCAATTTTATAGAACATTTTGATCGAAGAAATCTTCTTAAAATAGTTGGCAATCGAATTATTCTTAGAAAGCCTTCAGATAATTACAATTTCAGTGCTTATTTTTTAAAAGATAGTCCTTGGCTTAAGGATAATATAAGTAATGCTTTTAAAAACTATTATAGTTAAACACATTAATTTAGAAAAAGCCAGAATAGATAAAAATACTGATTTAATTGATAATGATAAGTTTAATGATCAAGAAAGTAGAAATGAACTAGAAAATATTTCTACTGAAGTAAATTTAAATAAATGGTATTTCTATGAAGAATTAGCCTGCAGAAGAGTGTCGGAAGGTTTTATCGATCAGAAAAAACAATTTCAAGCTTTTAAGATCTATTTAAAAGACATTTCGCGAAATGATTTCAAAAAAGAAAACAATAAAAAATTTGTAAATATACAAATTCAACTGTTAATTATTTATTAGAAACTTTTACAGAAGATTTCTCATTTTTTGAAGAATATTTTTTAATTCCAATATAGAAAATTGATTAAGAAAAACAAATTTCATTAAATAGAGACATTCAAATTTATGATTAGAAAAAATCTTATGAGAGAAAACCTTTAAAAAATTAAAATAAATCTGATCTTAAAAGAAATTTTCCTTGTTTAGTAAAACTATCAAATTACCATTATATTAGTTTTTTTCAATTGAAAATAAAAAAATTTTATAATAAAAATTATTCTTTAACATATATTTATGTTAGAAATTCTACTTCTGAAAAACATATTTTAAATAAGTTAAATTGGTTTACTGGAGTGGTTGATTAATGTATTTATAAACTTTATTTCATTCCATGTCGAAAACAAAAANTCTATATTTTTATTAAAATCACCTATATTTTTTTCTAAATGATTTTTCTGTTCTACTGAATCTGCTGGAAGAATTTGTTTGAAATTATTTAAAATACTAAAGACCTTATTCAGTTCAACTTTTTTCAATAAATTATCACATGTTGTTATATAAGCACTTTTTATTTCCTTTAATTTATCATTTAATACACCTAGATAATTTTCAGGTTTTGACAAATGTTTGAAGCACATCAAATTTTCATAAAATTCACCGACTATCTCAAGTTTTGGATTGTTCTCCTCTGATATCTTTCGAATCAAATCCTTGTTGAAAATCCACGATCTTATCTCTATGATCTAATATTTAATTTTTCTCTAAATATTGAGAGAATCAAAGTAAAAATCTAAATTAACCCTGATGAGAACAAAAAGTTAGATGAAATAAATGAATCACATGATTTACATTCATTATTAAATTTTTCTTTCTTCGACGCTCTATGAAAAAAAGAATAAAACATTTAATATTGAACAACAAAGAGATGCTTTTAATACATTGTATGATCTACAATTAATAGAAGAATTATTTAAAAGTCTTTCGAACTCTGCGGATATTAGTAAATTGTCGGAAAATAAAAAAATATTTCAATTTCTTAACTGGATGATAGTAAATCTCGAAAACTGTGAATAAAGAATAATAGAAAATATTTTTCCTATGATGGGTAAAATTATACAAAAAATAACAGATAGAAATTTTTGTTATGCAATTGAATTTTTAAGAATAATTTCTGATTATAAAATAACAAAATTAAAAATTGAACAACAAGAAGAAAAAATTCAGTTAGCAATAGCGAACAATTCGAAAGATTTATGGATAAATATATTAAAAATTTAAAATAAAATTAATGATTTGATTCGAAAGATATCAGAGGAAAACAATCCAAAACTTGAGATAGTCGGTGAATTTTATGAAAATTTGATGTGCTTCAAACATTTGTCAAAACTTGAAAATTATCTAGGTGTATTCGATGATAAATTAAACGAAATAAAAAGTACTTATATAACAACATGTGATAATTTATTGAAAAAAGTTGAACTGAATAAGGTCTTTAGTATTTTAAATAATCTCAAACAAATTCTTCCAGCAGATTCAGTAGAACAGAAAAATCATTTAGAAAAAAATATAGGTAATTTTAATAAAGATATAAAAGATATAATGAATTTTCTATTAAATCAAATAGAATTGATTAATAAACAACAAATAGAAAATGGTATTTTTAATGATAGAAAAGTTATTTTTACAATACTTAACCAATTATTTTTTGCAGTTAAAAATCTTGAGGATGATATTCGTATATTAATAGTGACAAGGCTAAATAAAATATGGACAAATCAAGATAAAAATCTATTTAATTTTACAATATCTACTAAAGAGATAATTAAAGAAACAAACTTTTGTCTTTTTATGTGTAGAAGTAAAGAAAAAATTGTTACAAAAATAAGAATTCATTTAAAAAACAATAATTCCATTGATGATTTGCTGATCAATAAATTTCAAAACTTATACGATCGACTTAGAAAAGATCATAATATTGAGAATATTTTATCTCACTTTGCATTACCATTCGTTGATATTTTGAATCTATGTGAATTTAGTCCTAATGAAAACCTTAATGACTGTCTTAATGAGATAACTAATCATACAGAAAATATTACAAATCCAACAGAATTAATAGATTTAAGAAGAAAAATGCTAATTAAATTAATCAAATTTTATCCCATATTTAATACTAAATTAACTTGTATCAAAAAATACATACAGAATTTTTACTCCAGTGAAGTATCATCTATTCAGAAAGAACTAGAAGGCTATGAAGAAATATTAATCTTCTTATATCAGGAATTAAATAAAAAATCGAAACGTGTCGAAGAAATTTATGACAGATTTTATAAATACTGTTAAAGACAAATACCGAAATCTGGAGCAAATATTAAATGTCAAAGTTTCATAATTCTAATGAAACTGATTCGTAAAACTCATGAAAATAGTTTATACCCAGATGAAATAAATATTGATCATGCACAATTTTCAGTTATTTTACTTCATACTTTACTTAGCGAAGATAACTCATTAGGTGTTCTTAATGATGAATTAATAAGCTTTTTAGATTGGTTATTTGAGATACTTGCTGAGTATGAATATATGGATAAACTCGGAAAAATTAATATCACAATTGATCATATTAAACAACTGCAGAGTTTATGCCGAAATGAATCGAATAAAGTTTCAAAAGAGTATGTGTATTTAAAAGAATCGCTGTTCATTATTTATAAGAAAATAAAAGGAATTTATATACAAAATTATATAAAAGTTTTATTTGAAAAATATTCAAAAGAAAAATGGTTAGAAATAGTTATTTATTTTTCTGAATATTTCGAAGAAAATGATAATAATTTGTTGGATGTTATCCAGAATGATCCGAATTCTCTTAACTTAGTTGAAGTCAATCAAATTCAAAAAGTTATTTTTGAAAAAATTTCTCAAATTCAAGAAGAAAAATTCAAAAAATTCTATTCATTAATATTAACAGAAACTCGAAAAAATAATATTAATTTTCAAAAGAAAATAGGAAATGGTTTTAAAGAACTCTATGGTTATGTAGATAAAGATAAAAATCATCCTTTCGAAAAATATCATCCATATGATGTTTTAAATTTGAATAATTTAATAGATACATTTAATAATAGATTCGAAATCGACAGACATATTTTCATGACGGAAGATAATTTTATCAAAATACAACAATGTTTATCATGTTTTCAAGATATTCGTTTACCTATAAAAAAATTATCATCGACACCTCAACAGGATTGGTTAAGAAATATTGTTAATAGAACATATTATTGAAAAATATAATTTAATATTTTCTCATGAAAAACGACTCGAACGTTTACGTAATATGTTAATGAAAGTTAATGAAAAACTTTTACTTGTATTTAATAATATATTTGTTCGTGAATATATTGATCAGATACATCAAGGAATTTATAAGAATTCTAATAAAGACAATTTACCGTCGTATCAAAAAATAACTGAAGAAAAATTTCTTCGTATTGTTGATTTAATGGGAAAGATTAGAGTGACTAAAGAAATTTTAGATCAATTGTCGGATGCTTCACTATCAGTATGGGATACAATATTATATGAAATTGAATTTACAGAAATCTTTAATAGAGAAATGAATAAATGTGGTATTGAAATTAGAAATGATGATAGTGAAAAAGCAATTTTATTTTTAAATCGTATTCGAGTTCAAGTAGGTATTGAAAATTTTCGAAATATTATAGACAAAATAATTAGATCAAAAACTAAAAATATTAAAAATTTAAATTTATTATTAGAATCTATTTATTATCGAAAGATAACTTTTAAAGAAGCTAATGAAATTGTTTTGAAAAAAGATTATAAAGATTGGCATAAAATAATCTTAGAAAAAATGTTATTGCATTTTAAAATTGATAATAAATCTGATCGTTCAGCAAAACAAATTATTGATCAAATGATAATGCACCAAAAAAAAACGAACTAATTCTATTTCACAAGGAGTTCTTAGACAAATTGCAGAAGATGCAAAAAGATTTAAAGATAAAGCTTTAAAAAAAGTCGTATCGGGAAGGAGATGAAAAATCCGAAATTCAACGAGAAATTCAACAAAATATTTAATCTTGAATTATATCAAAATAATCCATCGGATTATGTTCATTCACATTTAGATCAAATTATTTCATTACTTCTTTATGCTTGGGCAATAGCTAATAAACCACAATCTCCTAAAGATACACAAATAGTTGCTTTATTACTTTTTATTTCAAGTGAAAGCAAAGGACTTCTAGAACAAATTCGAACAGGTGAAGGCAAAACTCTTATCTTAGGACTAACGGCAGCATTTTTTGCACTATGTGGGTATGCTGTTGATGTTGTTTCGAGTAATCGAGATTTAGCTATAGATGGTGAACAAAAATGTCGTACATTTTTTGAATTACTTAAACTTGAAAGTGGTCATATATGTAGTGAAAATGATGATATTAATCATCAATCTTATAGACCAGATTTAAGTACAAAACAAGGTAATATTGTTTATGGAGAAGTAGGAGCATTTCAACGTGATATTTTAGAAGATGAATTCAATAATAAAAAAATATTTGGTATTCGATATAAAGATCGTGAAAAATGTTTGATAATTGATGAAGTTGATAATATGTGTTTAGATCGTGCGAGACATGTTCTTTATCTTTCACATGAAATAGCAAGTCTAAAATGGCTTGAAACATTATTTATTAATTTATGGGCTGCTGTACTTCGAACAGAAGTTAATAATTCAAATGAGATTTCTCAAAATATTGAAGATATATCTTGTTTTATGAAAAAAAATATTGAGAATAAGAATATTTATGTTCCTGAGTATTTAAATGATTATGTTGATTATAAATTAAAACGTTGGATAGATAGTGCATTTCAAGCAAGAATTATGCGAGAAGATGATCATTTTGTTTTGGATATACCTAAAGCAGATGGTCAAAATATACAAAAACATCGAACTATTATCGTAGTTGATAAAGATACAGGTACTGAACAATATTCTACACGATGGAGTAAGGGTTTAGCACAATTTTTAGAATTAAAATATCGAAGAAAATTATCTGTTGAAAGTTTAAAAGCAGTTTTTATTTCTAATAAAATATTTTTTCAACGATATAAAACTCATCTTTATGCATTAACAGGAATATTAGGATCAGAAAATTCTCAACGTTTTTTAGCTGATTTATATAATGTACAATTTGCAGATTTACCTACATCGAGAAAAAAATCTTATTATCAATTTCCTAGTAAAGTATCATTTGAACATGAAGATTGGCTTGATTCTATAGCTCGAGAAAGCATTCAACAAGTGAAAATAAGACCAGTTTTAATTATTTATGAAAATGTTGATTTCAACAGAAAATATTTGGAATGAATTAATTCGACACGGTGTTCCTCCTCATACAATAGCAAAATATAGACGAGATGGTGATAATACAGAAGAAAGATTTCAAAAAAAAGCTGCTACAAGAGGTGATATTATTATTGCAACGAATAAAGGTGGACGAGGAACAGATATTCAAGTTGATTCAAGTGTAAATAAAGACGGAGGATTACATGTTATTTTAAGTTATCTACCAGATAACGTTCGAGTAGAAGAACAAGCTTTTTGGACGTACATCTCGAAATGGAGCATCAGGTACAGGTCAGTTTATGTTACAAGTAGATCGATCTATTTATGAAGATATGTATGAATTAAATCGATATCCTCATAATGAACAACAAATAAAATTAGCCACGTTATCTGATGTTATTTTAGAAAGAGAAAAAATAAATCGAGATAATAAAGAAGCTGCTAGACCATCAGAATTAAAAAAAGAAACATATTGTACGTCTTGAAGTTGAAGAAGAACTTTTTGAAAAATTTAATCAATTTAAAAAAGAAATAGCTGAAAAAATATTCGAACCAATATTTAAAAATAAACCAGAAGAATCTAGACCGAAATTAGTTGAAGCATTTGAAAATGTTTTAAAAGATCGTTGGGCATTTTGGTTAGATAAAGTTAAAGAAAAAATTGATGCTATTGAAACTTCTCAAGGAAAAAAATAGTTTATTGAAAAAATTTAAATCTTCTTTTATTGACGAAATTAATATTCTATTACGAAATTGTAATTTTAATGATTTATTAGAGAAATTTATTGAAAAACCAGAAGAAGCTATACATATTGGTAAAGTTTGCCTTGCAGAAAAAGAAATTTCAATTGCTAAAGAATGTTTCGAAAAGGGAATAAAATGTGGCGACAATTCGGGATTTTCCTATATGGCCGTTACATATTGTATTATTCAATTACAACAAGGAGAAAAAGATAAGAAAGAAGCAAGAAAACAATTAAAAACAGCTTTATGTTGTTTAGAATTTGCTAAAAGAAATTTAATGGTAAATCTTAAAATAGCTGATATTCTTCCTCAATCAGCTACTGCTGATATATCTCAAAAAATATCTTCAAAAGAAAATTTTTATCATGATCAAATTAAAGGAAAATTAGAAGTTATTGGATTACATATCCATTATTTAAATCGAGCCGTTGGAGAAATAGTAGAACCTTATGATTTTATTCTAAATACAAACGATGATGAAATGTCGACAATTAAAAAGCAGGAAAAGGGAGAAAAGCTTTATAATCTTCTAGTTGAAAATGAGCTTATTCAAGGTGATAGAATAAGAAAAGCATTTCGAAATGACTTAAACAAACGAGCAAATATGGAAAAGGAAATACGAGATAATCTTGATCCTTCCATTGCTGATTCAATAATTACTTTATTAAATAACAAAAATAGATTTGAAAAGAAAGATTTTGAAAAAATTGTTTGTCATAATGAACAGTTATGGAAAGCTTTAAAAATCAAAAATGCTGAAAATGTTTATATACTCGATGTAAATAGAATACAACGAGAATTATCGAATGAATATGAAAATATATGGACACGTTTAAAAGATAAAATAGATCCGAGTAAAGTTGATCTTTCAATCTTTGACGATTGTCAAGAAAAACTTAATTTTAAAGATTATTTAGAACAAAAAAGAATATTGATTCAAACTAAACGAGTTAAAATCAAACACTTAAATTTGAATTCTTTGAAATTCGAAGGTGAATATAGAAAATATTCTCAAGTTAAATTCAATGATGGTGGTCATGAAACCAAAGATCTTAAAGCATTTTTAGAAGAATTAATAAAACAAATAAGTACTCGAGGAGGTGAATATTTCTATCAAACAGATTTACCCTATCGTTCGAAAGAAGAGGAAGGAAATAAAATTCGTATATTTTTAAAAGACAAAAAATATCTTAAAATCAGGCGGACTTGCGAAATATAAATATGGTGATAGTAAAGAAAAAATTGATAACTTATTAGATAAAATTTTAAAAGATACTGAGTTTCAAAATGATAAAGAAACAATTCTATCGAAAATAATAAATTTACAAGGAGATATTCGCTCATCGAAAGATGATTTAGCTGCCAGTTTAAAAGATTTTATTGACCTTGAAGATCAAGAAATAGTGCCGAGTGAATTGAAATTTTTCGAAGGATTAGGTCTTAATAAATTTTTAATTATTAAAGAAGATAAATCTTGGTGGGATTGGAATGCTTTCGCTGTTGCTATGATAGGACTTGCTCAAGGTATTGGAGGTGCACTTTTCGTTTGTGTCGGTTGTGTGAATATAGGAGGTGCTCTAATATCTAAAGGTATTGTTGATATGATTTATGCAACAATGGCGGGAATATCGGGTCAATTCAGTTGGAAAGAATGGGCAATACAAAAAGCAATTATTTTTTCTCTTTCTTTATTAACTGCAGGCGTCAGTAAGTTAGCAAGCTTACGTGCGACTGTAGTTAAAATAGGTGGAGCTTCTCTAATGTCAACGTTTACAAAAATAATGGTAAACGCAGCATGTCAAGTAGCAACTACTTGTTTTACTAACATTCTAACAGACAAGATTATGGAACTAATGAAAGAAATGCTCGTACCTAAGATTGTTAATGAAATCGAAGAAAAACTACTCAAAGGAGTATACGATTCATTAAGTAAAAAAATCGAAAGTCTTTATGCTTCTAGTAAAAATGAAGGCGATTTTGAAAATAATTTTAAAGAAATGAAAACAAATTTAGAAGCAGCATTAGGTAAAAATATATTTTTATCACAACAATTTGATAATATTCGTGTACAAGTTATGTCTACTGTTAAAAGAAGTTATGAAACACTTTCTAATACTCTACAAAAATCAAATTCGAAATATCTTAAAATGGCTGGTACTGCTATGAAAGTAACTATTTTCGTTGATAAGATCTGGAATGCAGTACAATCTATTTTAAATTTAACCAGTGCGATTACTACTTTGCATAATATTATTGATGGCGCAAGTCAATTAAAAAATAATCATATTAATACAAAAAGTATACAAAATGAGCTCCTTAAAACGAGAGTAAGTCAGTTGACAAGTGTCATCAAAGCATATATATCAAATGTATTAATAAAAGAATTAGACAGACGTATAAGAGCATTGATCAGTGGAGCGCTGGCAGTCATTAGTGAAAAAGTGATCAAATTTACAACTTCTATGATTGAGTCAGTGTTTGATAAGCAAAATCCAGTTGATGCCATGAAAAACGCTAATAAAAAATGATAAAGATAATTCAGAGACACATGTTATTACTGATCAACCTTTATCCGTATCTGATTCTAAAAAAGAAGAACAAGATCAAATCAAAAGAGAAGTAATTCAAAATGGAATTACAAATCCTAAAAAAATAATGGAAAAAAAATGCAGATGGAATTAACGATAACAATGAACCATTAAATCGCGTTGATATGAAAATACTGGCAAATAGTAAATGTAGAAATATAATTATTTACAATGAAAATGGTACCGAACGAGTGGTAATAAGACCTGATGAATTAAAGAACATAGTTGCATTTTTTAAACAGTGAGCTAAAATAAATTATCAAGAAGGTTAAAATGGAACTTTTGGACATTTTATTAATCATAGAAGTGGAGAAAAATATGTACAGGTAAATAGACGTAATGACTGTTTGTTAATAGCTTATCATGAATAACTTGGTAACGCAGTAAATGAAAATATGATACAAGCAGATCGAGTTAAATTACAACAGTATATTAGTCTACATGAACAAACATATAATGCATATAAAGAGAAGATGATTAGAGAAGGACGTAATCCAATGATAGGTGGTGGACAACTCGAGAAAAAAAAATCATTTTGAAAAAGACGAAGTGACGATAGACGGAAATAGGAAACGAAGTATTTTTGAACAAGATCAAGATACATTAGAAAGAGATGCAAAACGAGAACCTTCTTCAAAAAGTGACGGAAGTTATGATACTAGAAAACATGAAAAGCTACGTCTAGAAAAAAAATACGGTACAAAAGTTACTGGCGAAACACATGAGATGAAACATCCTCTTCCTTGGAAGACATTAGCTAATGATGCTGATCCCGATTTGGGAACTTCTCGAAAGACCGGCCATGGTAAAGAACTTGAACGCATTGCACCAGCCTATGCAGAAATCGAATGGGCACACAGAAAACATCTAGGTACAGGTTCCAGTGCTGAAGCTAATCGTTTTCGGCAAAAAGTAGGGATCGCTTTAAAAGAAAATAACAGCCCTAGTAACGCACTGCAACTTAGTTTACTAGGATACGCTCATGTACCAGGCTATCGTGACGCTGTAAAAACTGCAGATGACATGATAGCTAATGATTCATATCTTAATATGATAACCAAAATAGATTCCGTATCTTATTTCTGTCTATTTTTTTCTATTGAGAGTATATTGTTGTGAAGATTTCAGTTATGATGAAGAATGTAAATGTTTTATTACAGTCATATCATCCATATCTTGCTAATATGCTTTGCTTTTTTGTAAATCAAAAAAAATGGATAGTTATGATAATGTTTTCCATTGTATTGTGAACATATTCTTCACATACAACAGTTTTATAGATGTATATTTATAAATGTATTTCTATTGATTTTGTTTTTTAAATTGAATGTTAGGGTTTTCTTTCTTATGTTGACTATGTCTCTTTGTACCCTCTCTATGATCTTTTAAACACAATGGCAACTGTTTTTATTTCTCATTCTGCCGGACAAGTATGTTGGTATTGATACAGTGGAAAAAGAAAAATGAAGAAAGATTAATTACAAGTATTTTATTTCTATTAATATGGTATGCTACAAGCTTCCCATTAAGATTGATACTTCACATCTTGGCCATGTTAATATCGAATGATAAAGCAGTCAAAATCAATCTTCAGAATAATCAGTAATATATCCAACAATAGAATCATGATTATATAGATTTGCATTCAACTTCATCATTATCCAATTAAACATTAATATAATAACTCATGTCTTCAATGATCCGAAAATCAGCTGCAATATTAAACTAATGTTTATAATTATCATACAAGTAAGCTAATCATCCGATCAAAAAGCTTATTCAATAATGGAATGAAATGATACAACATTTAAAACGATTATGTCAATTTCATCAAGGAAGCAAAAAATTGGAAATTAGCTGGATGACTAATGGTCTAGGCAACAGTCAACGAGTGGTACTCACTGACTAAACTGATGATCTCGTACAATGAAAGAGGAATTTCGTCAGTCATATAATGGGATTAATGCATGCTAATTACTATTAAATAAGAATTGACATCATCGTTAATATTTATAATCTGTACTGTAGTGAATTCCGAAACTACTGTTGGACACATCAACCATATCAGTGAATTTTTAAAATCTTTGGAAACACATTCGTTATTCCCGACAAACTTTAGACAAGTGTTAAGGTTCATGATAGCTAAAGCATGGTCATGTATGTTGATGCCTTCTTCACTGACAATATGTACTGGTCAATACCTTATCTGTTAAACTTCTACATATTATACTTTTTCATCTTGAAATCATCATGTGCGAAAAGTATCTGTTTTGAATTAAATAAATGGAATGATTTTACCAAAAACTTGCGACAGTATTCGATTCTTTTGTGAAAATATCTCTTTATCAAAAAATTGGTTACACATATTTTCTAACGGAAGGAAACTTTCCCTAGGAGCTATTATCTAGCACAAGGAGAAACAAGCGAGACCTATAATTAGAACTCTCATAAGCATTAACACAATCAAGGACGAGAATACCAAAGTTTAAAAAACTATCGATTTTCTAAATTTCTTCCGTATCACAATTCCGCATAAAACCTATATATAATTTCATAACTCATACTGTGTACCCATATTTATACAGCTCTCGCATCTTTACACACATGATAAATCGTGTCATTAGAGAAGCAATGTCATCCCAAGCATACTCTACTCTCGCCCTTACTGATCAATAAAATTGCTAAAATATCAATGGTACATGAGACCAAGTATATATTTGGAAGTAAATTGACAGCGTGCGACTTTATTTTTGTGAATGAATATAGTAAACGATTTTTAAAAAGTTCTCAGCTGATAACTGAATTTTGGTATGTTTTATTAGGTAGATTGATGATAATTAGCGGTATTCTTAAATAAATGTTAGTAAAAAAGCCAGTTAGATGAGCTTCAAATTTAAGCTCGTAGCGTATTACTAACGGTTCATTTAAATACCGCAAAAAGCGATTTATAGAGTGTTGGTGAAATTATTTGAGGCAGGTGAAATTGAAAGTTTTCCAGAAAATCTGAATCTTGAAATTGATTAAGTTCTTCCAAATTTTGGTCCCAAAGATTTGAAAACATTTTTCTGGGAGTGCCTATTTGCGCATATTGAACAAGAGTAATCGAAACTCGCTTTATTAATAGTTGTTTCGGATTACGTATATTGACATGAAATGAAAAATTTTTTTCCGGCAACAGCTGGTTGGTCCTGAAGAATGACATGTAGATGAACGTCTTTTCGATTCTTGTTTTGAGCTTACAGTTGTGTCACATGTATTGGCGATGATGTATGCTTAACAATAATAGGTACTGCTTTTCTAATGTTCCACTTGTACCATTCGGGCCTGACAAGTATGATACTAAGATAATAACGAATATATGGATCATCTGAATTAGCCTGTTCAGTCGACGGCTGTAAAGAATAATTGAGGAAGAGACGAAATTGCCATTCATGATTTCCATACGATAGAAGAGAAGTATTCTGGTAACTAGCAGAGTCGAGGTTGAGTTTTTGTTTGAAAAATATTTCTTCGTGTGCAGTTCTTGATCGATCATCCTTCTTTCGTTCTATATAAACAAATTTGCCAATCAGTTCTGCATCGATACTCTTCAATTTTAATGCTTGATAATCGAAATTGCCGAATCCAACTTTACCCGACACGAACTCGCCCGTCCAAAACAACGATTCATTGTTATTATTGAATTGGCAAATGATGTTCGATTCTAGTCCACCATTAGTCGAATTTATAAATATCAGAATCAGAAATAAATATTGGTAGGTAGTGTATAGCCGATTAGAATCAAAGTAAGACATCCCATACAGTTTCTTCATCGTTTACTTTTGCTACACAACGAAAGATCAACTGGAAAATGGTAAATAGTAAATGTTTATTTATCGAGATCGAAATACAGATAAGAATAGGTTAGATGGCAAGGTATTTATAAAAACAAATAGACAACACAAATACAATACTCTGCTCTCGTCTACATCGTATCATAAAAAATTTTTTTGTTAACACTTATATGTCATTTGCACGCATTTTCTTCATGAGGGCCTTGACCTTGGTCTCTATTTTAGCAATAAAACAATAGAAAAAAATTTATATAGGTCGCGCATATGTCTATTTGTTAAAAGGTTAGCAATATTAAACCTGTAAATATACGCAATGATTGAGGACAACAGGTGAATCCTAAGAAAATATGTAGATAGCACAGCTATGGAAATTGTGTCAACAACATAGAACAGTCATTCATGGACTGAAAAATAAAATCGTACCATACGAAGCTATAAAAAAATATTTAGAACTTTGCAACAAATCCCCAGCCACGTTTTAGTTTCGTACCAATTCGTTTCTCTCAACGTTTCGAATGGTTCCTTATTCGATGCTTTCTATGACGTTACATATGATATCTTCTGTAACACTAAATATATGTTGAATCACCTTTCAAGCTAGTCTTGATTTACGTAGATCTACACTTGAGAGCTCTCTCTAACTTCTTTAAGGTATNGATAGAGAATTAAATTCTGCATCCAGCACAACCAAGTAGGGGACCAGCACAGACGTAGGGGCGAATCGGCACAGGAAATACGCGAATCTGGTGCTAACATTACCTACGTGAACAGGTGAAGGTAAAACTCTTATCGTAGGATTAGCAGCTGCTTCTTTTCATTACGTAGATATGCAGTTAATATTATTTCAAGTAATCGTGATTTAACAATTGAAGAAGAGAAAAAATGTCGTTCATTTTTTCAATTATTAAAACTTGAAAGTGATTATATTTGTAGTGAAGATGATGATGTTAATCATCAATCATATAGACCAGATTTAAATACTTGTCAAGGAAAATAAAACTTTAATTGTTGATGAAGCTGATAATATGTGTTTAGATAAAGCAAGACATAATTTTTATCTTTCACACGAAATTCAAAGTTTAAAATGGTTTGAAATATTATTTATTTTTATTTGGACTTCAGTTAATAGTAAAAAAATATTTTTATACCAGATTCCGATTATATGAAAGATTTTGTAAATTATAAAATTGAACGTTGGGTAGATAGTGCATTTCAAGCACGGATTATGAGAGAAGATGATCATTTTGTTTTAGATATATCTAAAATAGATGAACAAAATAATAAAAAAACTATTATTGTACTTGATAAAGATACAGGAGTTGAATAATATTCTACACGATGCAGTCATGGTTTAGCACAATTTTTAGAATTAAAATATCGAAGAAAATTAACTGTTGAAAGTTTAAAAGCTGTTTTTCAAATATATAAACATCGTCTTTATGATTTAACAGGAATATTAAGTTCAGAAAAATCTCAAATCTTTTGATCTGATTTATATCAAGTTCGATTTGCACATACATCTACTTCAAAAGAAAATTTCTTTTTATCAAAGAGATAATAAAATTTCTATAGAATATGGAGATTGGCTTGATTTAATTGCTAGATAAACTATTGAAAAATCTAAAAAGCGACCTGTTTCAATTATTTGTGAAAACGTTGAATCGACAGAAAATGTTTGGAATGAACTTATTATTTGACATAGTGTACTTCATCATACCATAATAAAATATAGAAGAGATGATGATAATGTCGAAGAGGTATTGATATTCATGTAGATCCACAAGTTAATAAAGATGAAGGAATGCATATTTTATTTTAAGTTATTTACCAGAAAATATTCGAGTAGAAGAACAAGCTTTTGGTAGAACAGCTAGAAATGGAGCACAAGGTACTGTACACTTTATTTTATTAGTAGATAAATCTATATATGAAGAAATGTATGATTTAAATCAATATACAAATGAACAAAAATGGATTAAATTAGAAAATTTAGCAGAGATTATTATTGAAGAAGAGCTTTTTGAAAAATTTAATGAATTTAAGAAAAAAATTGCTGAAGAAATTTTCAAATCATTATTTAGTAATAGATTAGAAAAATTTTGTGAGAAATTCGTTGAAGATTTTGAAAATATTTTAAAAAATCGTTGGGCATTTTTGTTCATTTGTATATTGATTTAAATCATACATTTCTTCATATATAGATTTATCTACTAATAAAATAAAGTGTACAGTACCTTGTGCTCCATTTCTAGCTGTTCTACCAAAAGCTTGTTCTTCTACTCGAATATTTTCTGNAACTCATCTTTATGGATTAACAGGAACATTAGGATCAGAAAATTCTCAAAGTTTTCTATCTGATTTATATCATGTAAAATTCGCTGATTTACCTACATCAAAAAAGAAACGTTATATTCAACTTTCTAGTAAAGTAGCATTTGAATATAGTGATTGGCTTGATTTAATTGCTAAAGAAAGTATTGAAATAGGAAAGAAACGACCTGTTTTAATTATTTGTGAAAATGTTGAAGCAACAGAAAATATTTGGAATGAACTTATTCGAAACGGAGTTCCACCGCATACGATAGAAAAATATCGAAGAGATGGTGACAATATTGAAGAACGATTTCGAAAAACACCGGCAACGATAGGTGATATTATTATAGCAACAAATAAAGGTGGACGAGGAACAGATATTCATGTAAATCCAGAAGTTAATGAACAAGGAGGATTACATGTAATTTTAAGTTATCTACCAGGAAATGTTCGAGTAGAAGAACAAGCTTTTGGACGTACAGCAAGAAACGGAGCAGTTGGCACTGGACAATTTATTTTGCAAGTAGATAAATCCGTCTATGAACATATGTATGAACTTGATCAGTATCCGACTGATAAACGAAAATTGAAAGTAGAAGAATTAGCAGATGTCATTTTAGAAAGAGAAAAAATCAATCGAGATAATAAAGAAGCAGCTAGATTATCGGAATTAAAACAAACAAGTATACTTCGTCTTGAAGTTGAAGAAGAACTTTTTGAAAAATTTAATAAATTTAAGAACAAGACGTCAGAAACTTTATTTCAACCGTTGCTCGATAGAGAATTAGAAAAATCAAAAAACAAACTTCTTCAAACCTGCACCACTATGCAAAACGAAGAAGCCAAAAATTTAATTGAAGAAAAATTTAAAAAGTCAAGAGAAAAAATTCTTGAGGCTTTAGAAAATATTTTAAAAGATCGTTGGGCATTTTGGTTAGATGAAGCAAAAGAAAAAATCGATGCTATTAAAACTTCTCAACAAAAAAATAATTTATTAAATGAATTTGATAAAACATTTATTACAACTATTACGGATCTTTTAAAAAATTCTAGTTTTGAGGATTTAGTAATCAAATTTATTGAAAAACCAGAAGAAGCAATACAATTAGGAAAAACTTTTCTTTCCGAAAAGGAATTTTCAATGGGTAAAAAATGTTTTGAAAAGGCCATTGCATGTGGTGATGTTTCAGGATTTTCGCATATTGGATTAACATTTTCTATTATTAGTTTGAAGGAGAATCAGGACAATATTAAAAAACAATCAAGAAAAGAGTTAAAGAAAGCATTACGTCTTTTAGAATCTATGAAACAAAATTTGATGGCAAATCTTAAAATAGCAGAATTTCTTCCTCAATCAGCTACCGATGATGTCATTAAAAAAGTATCTTCAAAAGATAATTTCTATGAAGATCAAATACGAGGTAAACTAGAAGTGATTGGATTACAATTACATTATTTAAAAAAAGCTGTTGGAGAAACAGTTGAACCTTATGATTTCATTTTACATGCAAAAGATGATGAAAAGTTTACAACAGAAAATATGAAAAAAGGAGAAGAACTGTATAATCTTTTAGTTAAGGCTAAAATAATTCACGGAGATCGAATAAGAAAAACATTTAAGAGAAATTCGGAACAAATGGATAAAATTATTCGAGATAATCTTGATCCTTCTATTGCTGATCCATCAATTAATCTATTAAAGAGTAAAGATGAGTTTACAAAGAAAGACTTTGAAGATATTGTTTGTTATAAAGAACAATTATGGGATGTTTTAAATGTTCAAAATGTTGAAGATGTTTTCATACTAAACATAGAAAAAGTAAGACGAGGATTACCAAATAAATATGAAAATGCTTGGAAAGATTTGGCAGATAATATAGATCCTAGTCAAGTTGACGTAAATATATTTGAAGAATCTTCAAAAAAGATTAA